TTAATATGGAACGCTATCGTACCTAGTTGAGTGGTGATAAGTGTTGATCGAATGCTRGGTTTGGTCWACTRAATTAGGAAAACACAAGGTTTATTATGGCTATCCTAATAAATCTAAGGTTAAATGCTTGAATTGCAAGACTGCTGAATTTTACCTAGGATCGATGACCAATCGATTCAACCCGAACCCTTGAACCAGAATTCGGTAAGACTGATTTTCTCTTGTTTGTTTAGTTTGTTATTGCTTTCTTATTCTTTTAATTTTAGTTATTAAATTTTCCCACTCAATTACTTTATCCATTCGGCTAAGAGATTACTGAATTGCTCCCTGTGGGATTTGACCTAGTACCACTTTTACTGCAAATATCTTGTTGTGGGACTAGTACTAATTTTGAGGGCTTCGACAAACCCCTCACTCGCTCCTCGCTCTGCTCCGTAGGTCATTCCAGCTCGAGGTCGTCGACCACCTTGGCTTTTCCCTTGAGGGCGGCGACGTAGCATTTGCGAGACTCAAGTTGGTCACCTTGCGCTACCCCGATACCAAAGTCTGTGGGGAACTTCATGGCCAAGTAGTAGGTGGACACCACGGCCCGTAAAGCATGGGTAATCGGCCGACCTACAATGGCGTTGTATGGGGAGGGGTTGCGACCACCAAGAAGTCGTGGTTAAGCCTCACAATGCTAGGCCAGGTGCCGACCTCCACAGGTACTGACACCCTTCCTAGGGGCCAAACTTCCTCTCCGCTGAAGCCCACTAGGGGAGTGTTCGTGGGCTTTAAGTCGCTCTCCTGAAGTTGGAGTTTGTCGAAGGCCGCTTTGAAGAGGATGTCAGTCGAGCTGCCTGAATCGATGAGGACTTGCTTGACTTCGAAGTCATTGATCTTCACTTTTATGACGAGCGCGTCATCATGGGGGTAATGGACACCGCGTGCGTCGTCCTCTGTGAAGAAGATGGGGTCTTCTGTCCTTGGTCGCTTCGGAGGGTTCTGCCCCTCCCTGTTGGTCTCGCGAGTTGCTGCTGAGGTGCAGTCCGCCATGATCGAGCCTCCGACTATAACATGGATGATCCCCCGAACTGGTCTCTCCTCGGGGGGCTGCTTCTGCGGTTGCTCTGGTTGCCTACTAGACTCGGGAGCATCTCTACCTTGCTCCCCTTGTCGACCTGCTTTATTATTATTATTATTATTTTGTACAATATTACGTAAATATCCAYGACGGATGAGTTCTTCTATCTCATCGCGGAGGTTTTTACAACTTTCGGTACTATGACCGTGATCTTTATGAAAGCTACAATACAAATTTTTATTCCGGGTGCTAGGGTCGGTCTTCATCCATGGTGGCCACTTCACGTACGGAGCGTCCTTGATCACCATGAGGATCTTAGCCCATTTTGTGTTGAGGGGCGTGTAGTCCCTTTCTACTGCTAGAGCTCGGGAAGGCTGGACTGGCCTTACCCCCGAGTTATGTCCTTCCTTTTCCTGTTGTCGCCTTGAGACGGGGGCTCCGGCTCCCTCTTTCTTTTTTTCGGGGCCTGCTCGCCCTTCTGGTTGATTTCCTCCTCGGTTCCAATGAACCGATTCGCAAGCTTAAGGAACTCGGTCATGGTTTTGGGTTGGTTGACAACTACGTGCCACTTGAACTCCTTATGGGTGATACCTTGCTTGTCTGCTGTTAGGCGAACTGCGGGATCCAGGTTGGGTATCTGCAAACAAGCGTCATTGTAGCGCTTGATGTAGCTCTGGATGGACTCCCCTTCCTTTTGCACTATGCCGAGGAGGCTCTCCTGAGTTGGCGGGAACCTCTTGCTGGTGACGAAGTGGGAGGTGAAAACATACACGAACTGCGCCCAACTTCTTATCGAGCCGGGTGTGAGGTTTCAGTACCAGGTGCGAGTCACTCCTTTAAAGGTAGTGGAAAAGGCCACACACATGCAGGACTCGCTGGCTCGTGCTAGGTGCATCTAGGACTGGAAGGCGTCCACATGGTCATTTGGATCGAAAGACCCATCATACTTGTCTAGGGGAAGGAGCTTGAAATCCCTTGGCATGGGGACAGCAAAGAGTTCTAGAGATAGCGGTGAAGAAACCGAGAGGAGGGGGCAGTTCGGCGAGCTCGTCGACGTCTTCGCTGTTGCTTTGCTGGCTCGGCGTTGGTGCTTGACGCTTCGATGTCGCTGAGCTCGATAGGCTCGAACCGCTGGTGACGACTTTGGACCGAAGGGCCCTGTCTATAGTTCGTGGCCAGGACTTCGAAAGGATTCTCTGCGAGCAGGAGCTCAAACTGAGAAGGTTGTGGTGACATGGGCTTTGTTGGCTAAGAGACCCCTGACCCGCCCACAGGCTGCGGGGCGGGGGTAGCTGGCCTCTCCTTCTTGCTACGGGAAGAGGCTTGGCTCTTGGCTAGATCCTGAACCTGGGAGGCTTCTCCCCGATGAGGCCGCTCACTCTGGCGGGAGGGCTTGGTCTGCTTCGTGGCTGGGTGCCGAGGAGGAAGCGAAGGCTAGGCCTGAGGCAAAGAGGGAAACTACTGCTGGTATTGGTATTGGGAAACCTGGTGCAGCACTTGTTATTGGTAGAGTTGGAATTGTTGAAACTGTTGCATCTGAGCCTGCATGGCCCGCATGCATTGCACCAAGTCCTCCAGTTGGTTCGGGTTGGCGTTGGGGGCACAACCGAGGGTTCAGCAAAGGTTGCTCCTACTGTAGATGGGAATGGAGTAACGGCGGGTGCCACTGTAAGAGGCACATTCAAACTTGGGACTCCGTCCACGGAGAGGGGGACGGTAAACTGTCCAATGCAGACAGTAGGAAGCTGGGGTTGCTCCCCAGAAGCGTTCTGGTTGTTGCCACGTCCGGCATTGCTGGAAGAAGCCATGAAGAATGCTAAGTTTTGGAAGAAGAAGCTGTAAAAGCTTGGAGTAAGGCTTTTAGAAGCGTTTCCCACAGACGGTGCCAAATGATGCGGCACAATCCGGGTACTCCTAGCTGGCTGCTGACTGGCTCCTTGCTGGCAATGAACGGCACCTGAGAAGATGAAGCAGAAGGATTCCCGGGGATTTGCCTGGCGGGAATACTCCGAAGCTTAAGTTAGAACGCTGGGGAGGAAGAAAAGAATATAAGAAGCTAAGAGTGTAGGTCGCACTAGATCACTAGGTCTCGAGATTAGCTCGTGAGCAAGTAAGAGTACGAGTTCAGATCTAATTCAAGAGAGAGCCTGTCTCTTTGCTTAAAAGGGCTTTTATAGGGGCATTCTTGTCAAATCTGATCGCTACAGTGTACTATTCGCTTGGATGGATAACACGTCCTAAAGGAGCAAGCACGCCTCCGTCTGTCGAGAGACATGGGCGCAGACCTCCGAAAGGACATGGACTATGCCGTCAGTCGAGAGACGTGGCGCAGTCTGATTAGTACGGTCTGGTCAGATGGAAGCTTCTTGAGAACGTCGCATCACTCAGATGCAAGTTACTCCGTAGCGAGCTATCCTTGCCACGAGCTACTTTGTATTAAGCTCTTAGGGGTACTTCGAGGTGACCCTCATCAAGGTTGGTCTCTGGGGCAGTTCTTCTGCCTAGGTGCTGGAGCGAGCTGGTTTCCCTAGCTCGCGAGCTGAAATAATTTTGGAGTATTCCCTTCTCAGTAGCTCGGGGTACCTGGAGCTCGCGTTGTAACGAGCTCCCCCTATAGAGAGCTATGATGTAGCGAGCTATCCTACAGGCTCGTTACTTGGTCGCGGTTAAGCCATGATGCTGAACTGTTACTCATACTGAATCAGGTCCACGTGTCGTCATCTCAGCAAGTCGGGTCAAATCATCCTCCATCAAAGATGATAAACAATGATTCTCCCTACATCCATGAGGTCTGGAATATTTGTAGTATATATAATGATACGGGTAATATTGACTATGCCATCGACAAATGACATGTGGTGCACCTCGAAGGGCATTCTCGCCATCTCACGGGACCTTGGGGAGCATCAATGTCGTTTTTTGCTTTCATCAATGTGGGGCCTTAATTACAAATGTTTCATCTCAGCGAGCCTTCCACAATGCATTATGGTAGGATAACGCTCAATCACGTAGTTCACACATCTTAATTGTCTCTCGCCTTATGGCCCCCAACATGGGGAGCAATTATGCAGCACTCACCCAGCTAATTTGATCATCTGAATCGTCGCCCTTAGGATCACATTCTAGCGACTCTAATGTCTTTTAATTCTTTATAGGTGGGACCCTTGGCTCATCACCTTGAAAGTGATGAAGTTGCCCTTACCCTCATCAATGACAACATTGTTCGCTTTTAGATAAATTACCTATCTGGTAAATGGTTGGGACTTACCCGAATAAATGCATTTATCTATGTTAATTTATTTTTCAGATAAATAAAATAATAACTATTTTAATCATAAAAATTTTATTATCAAAATGGATAATTTTGTTTCATCAAGTATTAACAACTTTTCAAAAAAGAAATTAATTTATTCATTTAAAAAATAAGTATCATTTACCCAATAAGTAATGAAAATAAACTTTTTTTGATTCCTACACAAATTACCCCCTCTCACGTAAATTACTGATAAGTGTCTCTCGAAAGGTTGACCAAACGAAGGGATTGGAGGGCAAGAGGATTCTGAAATCATARTTTGGTGTAGCTTTTTAGTTTCCATTGTCCCACGTCCTCGAAGCTGCCAACCATGAAAATACATCTCTCGTTAGATTTCTTCCGTAGCAACAATAAACGAGTTCGTTTAGTTAGTTAAAGATATCGTTATAATATAACGGGCATACCTTCTTTCGATAGGGTCCAGTCCTTATCATATCCAAGGGCCCAGAAGAAATATCCACCTAGATTTTTKGCCCGGGCGAACTCGACCTTGTATCTGATGGATGTGGCATTATCATACCCAATCCAATCGGCTCCCGCATAAGAGTAAGTGGAGACCGTCTTTTCGTCGAACACCTCCGTCGCACCATTGGCCGCGTTGAAATCCACCACCTCATGGTAGAGCAAGACCCCACTATCGCCAGGCCGGCTAGGGCCAACACCGACTGCCGGAGCTCCGATGCCGTTTGCACTCGGGTCTTTCAGCTTCCAGGTACGACCGTACATGGGTAGGCCCATGACCAACTTACTCAGCGGCACACCCGCGTCGATCCACGACTGGACGCCGTAGCTGGTGCTGATATTGCTCGTCGAGTCGTAAAGCAGCGCGTGCGAGCCAGTGGCGGAAGTATCCCAAGAGCCGTGGTAGTCATAGCACATGGGGTTCACGAAGTCAACGTATCTACGGATAGCGTCGGCTGGGTACGCCCGCTTGACGTCGGACAAGAAAAAGTTCGAAGCGAAGTAGACGGCAGCGGAAAGGAGGAGCCGTGGCCGGCGGGAGGTGTGGGCCTCGTTTTCGAAGGCAGTACGCCATTCGCGGAAGAGAGCGGCGAGGTTCGACATGTCCTGTGCGTTAGCTGGAAATTCCCAATCAAGATCAAGGCCGTCGAAGCCATACTGACGAGCGACCATGATGGTGGAGGCGATGAAGGCGGCACGGATAGAGGAGTTGCTAGCCATGTTGGCGAAAGTGGTTGGGCTGGCACCGCCTCCTCCAAGGGAGAGAAGAGCCTTCGCAGGTGGGTTCTTGGCGTGAACGGTGGAAGTGAAGTTGCCCATCCATTGAGCGTCTGTCGACGTGATGGTTAGCTGGTAGGTTGTGGAGTCCAATCCGACGAAGGCGTAGAAGAGGTGAGTGAAGTATGAGGTCTGGATGGAGGATGGAGGGTCTGTATCGGCCCGCCATGAAGGCCAGTACCCACCTTTAATTGCTTGAGCCTGCACACTGGAAATGTGGGAAGAGAAGACGGCGACAAGAAAGAGTAACACAAGATTCGTGCCTGGAAGTTCGGGCAGGCGAGACATGGTTTCGCCGTTGAGGATAGTGAAGAGGAGAGGGTTGGTGGTGGTGAAGGAATTAAGGCTTGCCCTAGTTCATGTATATACGCGAAAGACGTTAGACTAGCCATGGTTGGTTTGACTTTTTCTTGTTTTATTAGTTCTTTTGACCATTGAGAAATTATTAGGAAAGAATCGAAATATACGAAACGGATAGCATAGCAGCTAAATGCTGAAAAGTCAGAAGATCAAAAAATGGATTCGTGTCTTGACTCTTCTCGTCCAGCCAATTTTATGATAGTTTGCAATTACTCCGTTTATACCAAAATCAATTCCCGTTGCAGACTATTTCTGCTGTGGACCAATCAAGATAGGCCGACTTCATAACTCGTTATACTTAAAAGCTTAAGATGTTAGATGAATCACAAGATAGGCCGACAACGATGGAATGTTAACACTAGATTATTTGATCAAACAAGCTATAATGCCATCATAAAAAATCGTTTAACCTAAAAGCTTAAGTTGTTAAGTGAATTTCCTTAATAGGTTTTTATCTCTAATACATATTAGACTATTTAAGGGGATATTATTTGGTATGAATTATTTTTTACTTTTTGTGAGTTTCAGAAAAATAAATAAAAACCATCTACTTTGAAAATAATTTGGTTCTTAAGACTAAAATACAAAAAAGCATGTTCTTGGTTGTATGCATTTTTTTCCTTAAAAATGGAGATTATTTTCTTCAATTTATGGTTTAAAGAACATGTTTTCATCTAGTGAGTAATATCATGTTTCATAATAAAGAAAGTCTGCTATTAGCACGAGAGTGGATTTTCTCAGGCAATTTATCTGTAGTGCAAATTTTATTTTTGTTTCAAAATAAAAAATATGGATTGTTTAATTTGAAATAAAACTAAGRCTTCATTTGGATGCGGTGTAAATACAAAAGTACAACAATGTATTTGGAAAACAACCCACCAGGTAAGTGCAAAAGATGGACCGGTTATGTAAAAGTTTTGCACTGATGTTTGTTTGGAAGATCAGTTTAAATTATGAGCCAATCAAATAATTCTCCAATTACTAAAGCTAACAAGTCGTTGGTGGCCAAGAACAATGGCGAAGTTAGCCTCACACAATTGAATCCCATTGATACAATCCTCTTGGATATCACATCCAAAGGCTGTCCGCTTAGGCCCTCTGCCACCATGGCTTCGAGGTGCGTTGCCCAATTCACACACACTAGCTTCACTCGTTGCCCATCTTCATCAACGATCCACCACGAATTGGTGTAGAGAGGCAGAGCAACCACCGGAGAAACGATCAGAAAAGCAAGAATGACAAACGACGAAAAGAGCAGACCCAAAGTCCTGAGGATGGCGGAGCCCTTTTTCAGTAAATCCTCTCTCCTCCACCGTTGATGGACGACACCCCGAACATTGGCGTCTCCTGGTTCTCGATGTCAATTGGCACAGTGGTCATCGGAGGAGGATAGACGATTGGATTTTTCTATGATGGATCCTGTGAATTTGCCATTTGCCTTTTCCTAGTGGCATAGTTGTGGAAGTCTGTTTTTCGGTTCGGAGGACTGGACTACGACTTGAGATTTGTCTTGTGTAAACTGTGAAAGTGTATGACGACGATGAGGGGGAGTGGAAACAACAGTGGTGGATGGTGTTGGTGAACGAAACGACGATGAACACAAGCAAACTCGACGGTGCCAAGAGAAGARCCATTGTTTTTACCGTTTTACATCGAAAAAATCGATACATCGAATATTGAGGTAAAAGGTGTTTGAAGGTGAGGTTTTACATTGATATTCGGTGTATTTCTGTGCTCCATCCAAATAACGGCAAAACTGGACCGGAGTGCAAAAGTACATCGAACCGGCTTTTACACCGCATCAAAACGCAGCCTAATTTGTTTTTGTTTCCCAAGATAAAAACATAATTCAAAAATGCCTTTCAATTTTTAATTTGCTGATATGGTAAAAACAAATGAAAATAAAATATTCATATTTAGAAAACCCCCTTAGTGCCGTCAATTTTATCTTATTTTAATGACGTTGAACATATAATGAGGGGATAGAGTAATTAAGGCTTCATTTTAGTTTTCAGGAATAGGGATCTGGAATATTTTGATTCCAATTGTTTGACCAGGTAGACTCAAAATCCTATTTTCATTCTTGCTGAAATAACATTTCCTCATTTGAGAGAATGATCATTCCCTACCCCTCATTTCACCAAACGGACCCTAAATATTAATATAAACTCCCACCAAAGCATGTTATATACTTATACTATTCTTAAATCGGACTAATTATCCACGTTGGGTAAAGTCAACAAGCCAATCTCCCTCTCTATATAATAAGAAATTAATTAATTTGGTTGACCCAAGTATTTCTTCTAGAATTTGGTTGATCAAGAAATGGTCGTTCTCTAACAGTTACCCTCGTAATTGGGAGATGACTCAACAAATTAACATGGAAGTCATATATGTGGTTGTAACTTGTAAGTCATTAGAGTTTAAAGATATTATAGATAGAATTATATTGCAACTTTAACTAGGGCTTTGGTCTTAGTGTATCCACCAATTGAAATTGAGACATATGGAATGGAAGAGGTCCCAAAAATGATAAACCTACTTATTGCCCATTGGCTACCATTTTGTACCAATTTAGAAGCTCTAAATGTCCGGGCCTGTCAATTTAACTTAAAGGCTGTGTTTGGTTGCAATACAGATTTATTTGCATTAATACAAAATTATGGTAATACAAATGATTTGGGTGTAAATTCTGATTTATTTTTGTTATAAATTTTATCTTACTTTATTTAATTGCAGTATAATTTAAGTAAAATAAGACCTGAAGCAAAATAAAGTAAAATCCAAAATAAAATTAGGCCAGAATTTGTAATACGCCCATGCATTTGTACTAGTGCAAATAAAATTCTACTATCAAATGCAGCTTAAATTGCAAAGTGCCAACCAGCTGGTTGGTAAAGTCTCCTATTGGTTGTAGCAGAGACTTGGGATCGAATCCTGCCTGCACCTAGGTTTAGGGGGTTATGGGTTGGGGGATAGGCTACCCCCATTGTGTAGCATTTCAGAAAGTATCAAAAAGAAAATGCAGCTAGCTTACATGGTGTTTGTAAGTGTGGGCGCTTTTTGGGACCAATTTTCAAGAAAAAACGCCCATGCTTCCAAGACCCGTTTTCACAAAAAAACACTTCTACCATGTAGGCAGTGAGCAACACTATGCTGTTTGGTAAGGTGATTTTCATCACCATTTTTCATATATGTATTGATAGGTAAGCACCACATAGGATACACATCAGTCAACCATTGGGGGAAACAGTTCACCGATCATGCATTGGTGGGGTTCCAATTTTCGAGGCATGCCCAATTTTTTAATAATCGGCTGAACCAAATAATGAGATACATAGGCATTTGTTGAAGCGCCTATGTGAATCCAATGTGGCACCGTTATTTTTTGAAAAATGACCGCGATTCCAAACATCCCCTTAAATTTTTTGCATTAAATGGGTATTTATTTTCAATGCTTTTAAAGTTAGGTATTTGTTGAATGACAGACAGATGAGCTCATCATTCATTAATTGAAGCGCCTATGTGAATCCAATGTGGCACTGTTATTTTTTAAAAAATGACCACAATTCCAAACATCCCCTTAAATTCTTTACATTAAATGGGTATTTATTTTCAATGCTTTTAAAGTTAGGTATTTGTTGAATGATAGACAGATGAACTCATCATTCATTAATTGAAGCACCTATGTGAATCCAATGTAATACCGTTATTTTTGGAAAAATGACCACGATTCCAAACATCCCCTTAAATTCTTTGCATTAAATAGATATTTATTTAAAGTKAGGTATTTGTTGAATGATAGACAGATGAGCTCATCATCCATTGGTGACATTTAAACACCTTCAATCTAAATAGGTAGGCTTGACCTGCAATCTCATCTAGAAGCATAAGCTATCTGAGGTTAATGGCCTAATATTATATTCCGGTATTGATTGATAATATTAATATAGACTCCCACTATTATGATCAGATAAGAATTCTCAAAACACACCAATTACCTTATTAGCCACATGAGTTCAAGTCAATAAGTTGATGTCCCTGTCTATTCCTCTATATCTAGCTGTCTGTCATTAGATAGTTGAGATTATCGAAGTAACCAATCTAATAGAATTTGGTCAACCAAGAAATGGGTTTTGTTCACGAGTGAGAAATTGAGAATCACTAAATAAACTAACATATGGGCAGCCGCCTGGATCTCCTACACTTACGCTTTGTACTAAGGTGTTCACTAATTAAAGAAAATTCATCAAAATTCAAAGGGGGCGGGGGAGCCGGAGATTTTGATTGGTCAAAGTTGTTCCGGTATCATACCATTTTCACTTTAGTGATAATAATTCTGATCTGATCTTATCTGCTCCCAACCAAAAGCGCTTCCAATATGATCTCACATGTCACATCTCACTAGGGGTGTAAATGGACCCTAGATTAAATCTGAATTCAAATCCAATCCTAATTTTTAATACTCAGATATATTTTTGGGTGGGATTGGATTAAGGTGGTGTTTGATTGTACTTTTCAGACGTCTAAATTTAAAAATGTTGTTTTTCAGACGCCACCTTTATTTGGTGTTGCATCTGAAAACTTTTATCATATCTAAAATTTTTAAACTCAGGCCCGTCACTTAATGCGTTCAGACACGTTTCAGACGTGGCCAAAAGTTAAAACTACCACTCCCCATTCGACCTCTCTTTCTCGTCTTCATACATCTCTCTCTCTCTTCGCCCTGTCTTCCACCACCACTGCTACAACTTGTAGTGGTGGTTCCCTCTCTCTCTCTCTCTCTCCACCCTGTCTTCCGGCCACTGCCGTTGCAACTTGCAGTGGCAGCTCTCTCTCTCCCCCTGTCTTCCCAGTTCTCTCTCTCTCTCTCTCTCTCTCTCTCTGCCCTATCTTCTCGCCACTACCGTTGCAAGTTGTAGTGGCAACTCTCTCTTTCCCCTGTCTTCCCAGTTCTCTCTCTCGCTCTCTCTCTCTCTCTCTCCCTCCCTCCCTTCCTCCCT